ACTTGTAGAAAACGCTGTACACTACAGAGCGCGCCCCGCCCGTTGTGGGCAAACCCCCGGCCGACGTCCGTATTGGTCGGCTCTAGAATCGGAGTTTGGGGAGTGGTAATCCGATGACTGCGCCTTTTCTCACCAAGGTCGCAATCTCAGGTCTGGGCAGAAACACGTTGTAGGGGTAGTTTGATTCCCAAAATGCGAACATTGTACCTACTTGCCAAGGAAAAGCCTGACACCTGCACTAGAGGCGGTACTCATGGGCAAAATTGAAGCGCAAACTTGAGAGGATTTGCTCGCAAATCCTCTCAAGTTTGAGTTCAGGCGACCGTTGATTAGATAACGCGTTCAAAAGGCTTTTCTGCTGTGTTGAAAAAAAAGCAAAACAGCAAACTACGCGGGAACCCATCCCACAACGCCTTGCTCCGCGAGCAGACCGCTACCAGCTGCGCCACTGAAGCTCAGCACATTTGTTTTTCATGACATTTATGATGGAGTCCTACTTATTATTGCAGGCAATGCACTGAAAAGTCGGCGCGGCCAAGAAAGCTCTCCGTAAGCTTGCAGAGAGGAGTTTATCAGATATTGAAAGCGTCTCAAGATGGGTAAGGGAAAGCGCACCTCATTCCATCTGGCCTAAGGGCCTTTCCTGGTTATCAGGCTGATGCTCTTCTCAGGGTGCTGTGCATATTGCCCTACAACCGAGATCGTCGAGATTTACAATAACTGTCGAATGTGTGCAGTCCAGTGTTGTTGCCAACCCAAGACTGGTACATTGGGCGTTCCTCCTTGAAATTGAGTAAACGCTCGTCGTTCCTTTCCTACAGCAGGCCAGAACATTGCTTTCTTTTGAACGAAGTATCTCCAGTTGCGATACTCTATGAGCTGTGAGACATTATGGATGACTGATCCCTTCCTCTCCTGAATGAAGCACAAGAGCTACCTGGAACGACTCGTATAGATTAGGATTGTACGACCTCCAACATACAATAGCTCAAAAGATGTCTTGATCTAGAGATTTGTTTGGAATTCGAAATTTTGCATGAAGCTTTTGTGCGCTTTTTCGTTAAAATTCCAAGGATTCACTACAGCAATCAAACGCCAGAACAACTGAAGCCAGCTTGACTTTCAATATGGAGTTTGTTTAAAATTCTTGCAGATTTCTGGACAACCCAAAACATTTTTGCAAAGTTGATGCTAAAGGTTGCATTTTTTATGTAGTGGATCGAAAAAAAAAACACAAATACGTGCAGTTAATTCCAGCAAAAATATTGTTTCACATTGATCAGAATCACTTTCCTCACGAATCTACCTCAACGAGCTTGATTTGGGATAAGCTTAGCCGCGTTGGTGCTGGTTGGCCACTACTCGCGATGGATGGATGGGCGATTGGGACATAAACTTCGTCGAGTTTTCACTTTCTAGCCTAGATTTTTGGGGTAGGCCAGATCTTTCGAAATAGGCAAGATGAGGTTTGAGTTGAAATAGGGTGAGAAGTACCAGATTTTTCGTTACAAGTGCTAATTCCTGTTTTGGGTAACGAATTCTGGGATGAGCCGAGTTACTTCGCTTTAAATAACGGACCCTGCGTCGATGCTGATTCGTTTCTCAAGTCACCTAAATTTGTTCCTCCATTTCTTATCCCTTTCCTGATTTCATCCTGTATTCTCTACGTAGTGAACATTTCGCAGACACTGTACTGTTTTACCGCTTAGGCAAGTTCGAAAATAGCCGGCTTTTCAACACTTGCACGACTGACTGTCGCCTTCTGTTTTTCAGATCATTAGCGAGCTGCGCAGTCACAAAATTGAAATCTATCAGTTTCCGACAGACGACGAAACTGTAAGTTATTAAGTATTCATTTCCTTCACAGGCAGAGCTTGCTGTATGAAGAATATGCACCTATTCAACGCTAGGAGTGCACCTCTAACACGTTCATTGCACCCCTTCCTACCTCCTGGAAGTGGGGTGGGAGGGGCGCATTAAACGAGTTAGTAGGTGCAAACCTAGTGTTGCATAGGTTCTCCTACTCTCAGACTCATAGCATGCCTTGCTTTTTGCCATTCAATGTTCTCTCTGTTCATGAAGCATTTCAAGTTGCTATCATGTGAATCTAGTTGTTTAGCTCAACTGTTAAGACTGATAATAAATATGAAAGGGTAAGGCTTTGTTTAGTTTTTGTTTTTGAATTTTTTCATTGCAGGTAGCCCAGGCGAATGCTGAGATGAACAGTGCGATGCCCTTTGCTGTAGTAGGTAGCGGAGATTTTGTAAAGAAGGAGAATGGAGTGCGTGTTAGAGCGCGCAGATATCCTTGGGGAATCGTGGAAGGTTGGGCTTTTTTTGTTTTACTTTATTCTACTTTCAACCTTTTATCGTTTGAAATGTACAGGGTGGGCCAAAATTATGAGGACCGCGTGCGCGCGCGGTCATATCCACTTTTTTCCGAGTCGCTCCATTTTCATCTCCTTTTCTGTGCACTATGTGAGAGGGTACAATGTCTTCTTCCTAATGAAACCAAATTTCATGCAGTTCTCAAAACTAGTGAAATAACAACATCACCTTACGTCAGTCCTCAAATTGAACTCACTAAGGGCTCTGGCACGTTACATCTAGCGGCAGTCTAACGTATCAGGGAAGCTCTTATGAGCAACAGTTCAACTCTTCAATAAGTTTGGAACCACCACAGATGGAAAATTCGGGACTCGAAAGTTACAGTTACCACCAGGATAATTATCAGATGCAGAAACTAGGTCTCCCCTTGTCGACTTTCGTACCCAAAATGAAAAAATTGATGTGAAAACCCAGCCAGACACTCTAAAGACTCCACATCTGTAGTGGATAGAAAGCCACACGAGTAGTCTACTTGGGACTTTTTACAGGACCGAGCACCCAAGAATAAAGCAAAAATTCTCTAAAAAGCGATTTTTCGAGTTCGTTGCTTTCGAAGAATTGTTACAATGGAACCTTCCACCTCTAGATTTCTGTATTTTACACCCTGGATGCAAGCGCAAATAAATGCCCACAAAACTTTGATTCCCTGAAGAAAGCAGAGCAGAAGGCCTGGAAACATTTTGACACGCCTCAGTTGCGTGCCACCGCACGCGCCATCCCCCTTCATCTGAAGGCTCGTGTAAACGGGGCAGGTGGCAGATCTCAATTCTATTCTGGAATTACTTTGAGATAAGAGTTACAAACACTTCCCTGAAGTTTGTTTGTTCCATCAAGCTACTATGCGTTTTTAACGACACAATGTCTTGGTCCTCATAATTTTGGACCACCCTGTATTGCTTATAGAGAGAATGCATACTATGGACAAAGGGGCGCTTTGTATATAGTACCAGTTTTCCTGCGCGTGATAACGTGCGCGTCACACCATCGCTAACGAACGGGATACCCGAACCATCAGGTTAGAAGAAAGTTTCAAAACACCCCACAGTGTGGGCTTTCTGGCGTGAGACCGAAGACCTGTGCCGAAGCGCTTTGCCTTGACGCAAATTGACTAGTGGTGTATTCCGTGAAGCTTTTCTGCAATCGTTTTGAGCAGCTTGCAGTGGGTATTCCTTGTCATCGTCGATCTTTTAGAGAATGCGTTTTGGCCTATGCAATGACCTGCGGGCGCTATGCGTTTTAATATTTGTGATCTACTGGTCAGGCTAAATGTTACTGGTTTCTAGCCAAATTCACAATCATGGACGAATTTCGATTGAAATCCGGCTTTGTGGGGTGGGGAAGCAAGGGTAAATGGAGCCGATCTTATCCATAAAGTCACGTTCAGTACATATAGCTGAAACTGCTCTAACGGATTCCGAAATTTAGTGGAAAATGAACAACACTGTGATTTTGTGAAGCTCAGGGAGGCGCTGATTCGCACCAATGTTGACGCACTGAGAGAGAAAACTCATAACGTAAGTTGTATCTCCGTTTACACACCTAGGGGCTTCAGCGTGGCTCAAATGATTTCATTTGCACAGGTCTTGTATGAGAATTATCGACGTGATCGCCTGCGAAGCATGCACATGGGAGATGGCGATACGGGACCCAAAATGGTAGAAAAGTTCACATTGGTGGGTGAGCTTTCAGCATAAAGGAGCAAATCGAATAAATGCCTTTCACAGTGAAGATGTTTGGATTTTCAGAAGCAAAAGGAATACAACGATGAGTTTACTGTCCGTGAAGTGAAAATTCGTGAAGATTTCCAGAGAAATCTCGAGGCAAAGGAGGCCGAAATGCGGCAGAGGGAGGAATCGGTGCGTCCTACATGTAATTTTGACGTTGCCAAGTCATGTTTGTTTCCTTTTAGCTGAACATGCGTTCTCGCGAAGTGGAAGATTTGGCAGCACAAGAGCTACGTCGTCTAGATATGGAAATCCGTACTTTGCAGGACGAACGTACTCGTTTATTGGCGAAAGCTGTAAAAAAGTTGAAGAAATGATAATACAGCTCTCACTGGTCACGCACTAAGACCTGGGTCGTATTCGAACTTCTGGTGTGGTTTCTGTACGTTCGTCTAGCATCTCATTCTCCAACTTTAATAGCTCAATGTCAGCAATCCTTTTGTGCTACTCATTCCCCTTTGAATTGAAATTGCTGCTTTGTTCTCCTGCAGTAATCGAGCGTCATGTCGGAGCACTGATTTGAACGATTCTATTAGTCATTTCCAAGAATTTACGACGTAATTTGCGGCTTTCTATTTTTAAGAACATTCAGTCTCTTTGCTGTTAAATTTTGGATTAGGTAAATTGGCACACCAGCTCTGTCGAAGTTTTCGGTAATTGTCGACTCTAAATCTAAATACCCAGTGGAGCATGGACGTACAGGGGAATGGTGAGGGGTTACCGTCATATGTACTCTGAGCAACACGGCTAGTTTGACTACCGTTTTGTTGCCGGGTATTCACGTCTATTTCTTGTCATTTATTGTATTGGTTTTGTTTTCTTGATATGCTTCTTGAATGTCGTTACCCATACAAACATCCTTCGAATCCGAGTTTCGGTCTAAGTCATTCGACCTCTAATCGACCTTGTTCTCAGTTAACCAGCATATCACCTCTCATGCATTAATTTCTCTCACTTATCTCATCACAACTCTTTCTTAGTAATAATCTCTGCTTTTTTGAAGAAACAATCCTTGATGAAGTGTTGCTTTTTACTTGGCTGTTATTCAGACAAATCATATTATTGCGAAACACAAAGAAGTAGGTCTCGAAAGTGAAGGCGCAACTCATGAGACTCCCTTCAATCTGTAGGAAGATCCTTGAAAAAGGACAATCACGGATGCGACACTCGTGCATACAGGGTCGGTCCTATCGTTGGGACTTTTTGCAAAGTTTTACGACCCCCCCTCCTTCACGACAGATTTCGTACGACCCCT